TCCTCTGTCTGTAAGAACTTGCAAATTCTGTCTTCTCAAAAGTTGCCTACTTTAGAGGGACTTAATATTCTGATTTTTCCAGAGCTCTCACAGTCATTTCTGAAACATGCTGGAAGGGGAGCATGACACTCAAAGGAGTTCCTTCAGTATGAAGATGATGTCAGGTTTAGGGATCATTCTGGCTAATGAAAGTAAGGTAGAACCACTTAAATGATTGCTCATACTAATGGATACAGGTAATAAGGGGATTAAATTATATTCCTTTTCACCACAGGCAGTCTTTTCTAATATTCTTATGGAGATCTGACTCACTTTGAGCTTCAAACAAGTGGAAAAGTGTGGTTGGTTGATTTGTTTTTAAATGAAAAACTAATATTTTCCTCCAAGGAGTTTAAGTCTGGTCCAAAACCTCTGGAAAACACTCATGAGGAAGGTTGAGGAGGACTTTATCCTGAGTGGTGCAAGCCATAAGCAATGGAAAAGAGAGGTTTTTAATAGGGGATACTGAGAAAATGTTTGTCAGTTCCTGCAAGTAGAACTGCTTGTTTGCTAAGAAACTTTAATAATGTAAAAAGGGAGCTTTCCATGACACATATAGCAAGGAAAAATTGTTGTCGTGGTACCATTTCTGCAGAATTCTTACTTAAAATAAAAATAAACACCTAACTCATGAGCATATGAAGTAGGAGTTTTAGCACTGACTGCATGTTGGCTACCAAAATGAAATTGTTGCATGGGTTACAGTGAAAAGTTCCTATGAAAACTCTTGTTGAGGTCAGGGGTTTATTTTTGGGACTGATTGTAGGGCATATGCTGAAAAATTATATTTAATATGGTATTCTACTTCTCATTCTAAGCAAAAGAGAAAGTTTTACGGGAGACTTTCCAAGTCTCCATGGCAAGAATTGTCGGTTTATTTGGTGCATACTTGTTATTATGTTGTTAGTGTCACTTGACTTATATGTTTTGCAATTCATAAATTAAGAAAGAATTTTCTTGCTTCCAAGATGTGAGTGTGGAATATCTCAGACTGTTTGAAAAAAACAAGAGGCTGCTGAAATAATCCAGACAACTTTTCATCTATTTGTTATTTTCTCATTTCAATTTTCCATGTGTTATTTTAAATTCTCCCTCAATGATGTGTATCTATGGCTTACAGGTTTTGCTGGTCTTGATCTAAATATCTTGTGCCATGCTTCCACATTTTCTGATGCTTATAATTTTTTTCTTGAAGTGTTCTTTAACATTATGAACTATCACTATTTGAGGTCCCATGAATTGCAAAGTAGTCTGAAGAAGTGCATGATAGAAAGATGCCTGCATTTCAATTCAAGTATCATTACTATCTTTAATATTACTTGATGAGATGGCAAAGATCCTTTCTAAAATCAGAAAGGTTGATTTATTAACCTCTACAACCTTTAGCTGTCAGGAAACAGATGAAGTCTTATTAATGATACATAGGAACTCATTTAAAGTCTCCTAAATCAGGTATTTTCTTTAGAAATGCCCGCTGGATGTTAATCTGCAGTGAGCATCATGATTCTTTAAAGGTGCTGTTGTATGTGTCGGCACATATGAAAACTTTTGTCTTTACATCACCACTAGAAAGCCTGTATTGCTGGTGGCCTAGCAGTTTTGAAATCTATTGATCTTTTCTGCTGTTGTCTTTTTTAATAATGAATGGAATTCCTAGCAAAGGCTGCAAAACTTTGTACTGTTGGGCTGTGTAAACCTGGCTGTGGGTTCCATCACTGAGGCATTAAAGAAAATCAGATTTGCACCTACCTTTTGTCTGAACTTAAAGTTTTGATACGGATTGGTGAAGTTGCTTGCTTATTTCTGTATTCCTCTTTTTCTGCCATAGCTCTTCCCTTGGAGACGGAAGAGGCTCTGAGTGAGACCAGATCAACACAGTGCAAGATGTCCCTGCCTTTGGAAGATGGAGTGAGGTTTAGGTTTTGTAAAATGGGGTGGTAAATTTTGTCAAAGAGAACATAGTTACAATGGACCAGAAAGTGAGGGGCAAAACCAGTAATCTTTTGGAAAGTGTTGTATATTTAAGGGTGAGGGACTAAGACCTTTACTTTACATTTTCTCACAGTTCTGGGGAGAATTTGTACACAAGTGCATATGACTTTTGGAGAAAAACTTAATCATTTTCACTACCCAAATTCACTCCATATAGTCATACTGTTAACTAGCATAATCATAGTTGATTTGTTGCCACAGCTGATTTATGTTGTTAGTTTCTTTCATGCCTGGAAAACTTGGATAATTATCACAGAAAAAATGAAAAAGCAAGCATTTATCTCTTCTTATCCAAAAAAGACAAGTATCTTTTCCATATGCAGTAGTTTTACTTTTTCATGATCTACTCCATACCAGTTTTATGTGAATTGATAATCATACGTTAGATTAGTAATAATTCAACTGCTTTAGTTTCATATAATTTTATCTTCATTTGAATACATAGTATTTGGAAATATCTTCTGCCGAACTAGAGAACAGCTTAGGAGTTGGGTTTTTTTGAGTAAAAAACATAGACAATCTATTGGACTGTGGCTGTTAAAAATAAAATACAGATAAAGAATGTAAGGAACTGCTGTTCAAGATATTTGTCATCTCAAGTGGCTGGTATTAATTGCTTTGAAATAGTTAAGATACCAAGGGAGGAGAATTAGGCAATGTCTTGCTTAAGGTTCAGCTATTTCAAGCACATTGTCTTCTGCTTTAAGAACAGAGGAGAAATTTCTGCTGCTATGTTTGAAAAAACACTTCCCCTTCTTCATTACCAGTTGAAATATTTCACCAAAGGACCCTAAATGGATATGTAGTATATATGGTGACACAGATGACAGAAAAAGAATGTCCAATTCAGGTCTTGAGGATGATTGGATTTTGGCTTATTTCAAACTCTTCAAGGACATGTCTCAGGGTGTAGCTGAGGAGAAAGGGATGTGAGAAAGTGGTGTATTTCCCCTAACATTTTTGGATTCTGTTTGTCTTTGACGTGAAACGATTTAAACGTTTGGGATGAGTGAAACAAAATATTTTAATTTGCTTCCATGTTATTTATATATGTAACAACTTAAAGTTGGGATTACCAAAATGTTATTCCAACTGCCAGGTTTTGGGCAGACAGAATCCCACCAATGGTCTTTTAATCTAAGATAGTGCTTACAACATAAAGTCTAGAGCTTGCAGATTTCCTGTGCTTAGACTATTATTGAGTACAGAGAGAAATCAAATCCTACTGTTGTACTGAGTCCCTAAGAATTCAGCAGGACAGGTTACTCTGAAGTAAAAATATTTTTGATAGTTGGAAGCACTCACGTGTGCAGTATTGAAATATGTATTTGTGATGCAGTCATTGAGAGATCTATGAGAATCAAGTTCAGTGTTTACGCTTCAGGATAAGACCAGTCAAATGATTTCTAAATGTATTTTTAATATTTTTTTTTCTTCATATTGGTTCATTTGCAGCACTATAAAGTTAGTGTCCTGGAAGGTTTGACAGCCTGGAAGTTTTTCAGATGAGCACATTTAACATCCTCACACAATGGCTACAATTGGCAATTCCATGAGAAGAATGCTAAGGTCATTTAAAACACATGAGGAATTTAAACATCCTCCCCACCAGCAAGGATCTCCTGATCAGAAAAGAGACTAAAGCTTATTCTAAAAGAAATTTTTAATGAGAAAAGCTGACTCTGTTGTTAGAAATAAGTAAACATGGAATTATACACACTGGTGATCTCCAGGTGCAAAGATGGACTAATTATTGGAGAAAGGGTGGTGAATTCTGGTATTAGCAGATAGATGGTTATGCTAGAGACATTACTGAAGGACAAAAGAACTTTGTGAGAAATACATAACTCCAAGGAATTTTGGAAGCATCAGGATTATTTACAGTTATTTTAGAAAGAGCTTTTAGAAAACAGAAGGAAGGGTGGTATGCAATTTTAATATAAGACAACCTATAGTTTCCTCTAGCAGATCAATGGTACTTCTGGTGTTTAAAGCTGACAATAAGGAAAGAAGACTGGTGAATCTTGATATGCTGTCAAATATATTTAGACATATAATTAGTGGTTTTTTTCTTACATTTGCTCCTGTTTTTAAAATAGGTTGTTCTGTAGAAAGAAATTAAAACAAATGATCATTATTTCAAGCCCCAACAGATAAAGCTTTAGCTTTGACTCAAGGTTGCCATACTACATATCCCTCCAAGGCATGCCTTAGGACATTAAAATGAGTGATGTAGTCTGTCAACTTCTACTTTACACTCTACTCATATGTTACCATTTGCCTTTCACACTTCAGTATCTCCAACACTCGGGATGGGCATTATTATTCACCTCTGCCTATCACTGAGATATTTGCCTTTTTAATAAATATGTTGTGTTTAACTACAGTCTGAAATGAGAATAGATGCAATGTGGTCTGTGTTGATACTCATGGGTCATAGCTGGCCATTCTCAGAGTGGGTGGAAATGTGTGTCCTGAAGGGAGGTTACTGTTGTTGAAATGTATATACTGATGGGTAGAATACTGAAGAACAACTTATTTGCTGTACTCCCTTCCGGTGAGCTCTCTCTAGAAAATGCAAATATAAAATTATGTATATGGATTGTCTTTCTTTTTAAGAATTTTGCATAAAAATAAGCACTTACTTGTTACTAGGCAGCAATACTAGCATGTTTCCTTGAAGAGTTTCCTTACTCCCAAAGCTTTCTCACAGTGTGGTATCCTTTTTTCTTGAAGCTCCCTATAGGCATGCTCTGGCCTGACACCACCATAGTCAAAACCAGCTGTTCCTCTGATTTTTCTCACAGTTTTTTCTGTATATTGTGTTTCCCTCTCTCCACCTTGCTCTTTTGCAAGTTACTTTGGCCAGTGTTATAACAGTCTCTCTTTTTTTCATAATTATTTTGGAACAGTGGTCATCAATCAACACAGTACTTTGGATGCTTAAATGGTTTAGACTTCAGAGCACAATCCAGTGTGGTCTTGTGACTGAGCTTGAGAAGTTACTACCTCTTGATTTCTATCCGAAACTGTCCCCTGCCAAGCTCTGGCTCTGTAACAGATGGGTTGAGCTTTTCAGTCAGGGGCCATGCTCAGCTGACCAGTGTGTTGTTCATTCTGTGTACAAGTATCATAATACACAGCCCAGTGATGATGAATCTTTCCCACATATCAGTTGGTTTAAACATCATTATCCCTGATATATATTACTGAATATCACAATTGGGGTTTTAACCCAAAGACCACTAAATATTGTGGTTTAATCTTGTACAGATTTTCAAGTGAATTTCTGAATGAAGAAAAATCTTGAAAACGTTTAGGAAAAACGGCACTGGACCAGTCTCTTATTTTTGCTTTCCAGTTTTATTTGTGATGTTATTTATAACTGTTGGCTATATTTCTGTCTTTATGCAAATGACTGCACCAATTACAGTTGAGTAAAAGACATATCTTCTGTTTATTGAGATTCCTTCAAAACCGTGGAATACACAATGGTAACATTATTTTGCATTTTAATAATTTCAAGAATGTATTTGCTATATAACTTCTATTAAAAAAAACCCAGCAAATCAGCACTAGCCTACTCAAATGCAGTAACCTTTTCCCAATACAGATTAATTCAGACAATATTTTGTGTTTTAGTATAGAGATTGCTTTAATGTTACTGTTTGTTCATTTGGATGATTAGCATTTATGCAGTGTTGCAGAACTATGGCTTTCTGTCTAGTGAAGTTAGAGAAGTTTTATTACAATTGCACATCTCTGAATAACAAACATCTCAATTTTGTCTATCAATGCTCTCCCACTCATGGCTTGTACACATAATCAGCAACATTATTTTATTGCACATTTTATGTATGTTCTTTTTAGCTCTCAAATCATCACAGTAGTTCCAAAATTAACTAGCCAAACGTGCTGTTTAGTATGGGGACACCATGTTAATGAGTAGTGATTAATATCCTGCTTCAGGACTGGGGCCAGAATCTTTAATATCTAATAATTTTTTTGATCCTTCTGCTTTTTTATGCCCGTGGTCAGGGGGTTATTCAGCCTGATTTGTTTGGTGCTCAGATTATGTGCCAAGAGGTTGCTGACTGAACCTGCCTATGGTCCCTGGTTATTGGCAGAGTGCGTGCCTGCTGCCTACAGATGCGCCCTTGGAAGTGAGTGAGGCAAGAACCCCTGCACCCATCAGAAATGCCCAGTAGATTTTTGGATGGCTATTCAGAAGCAGCTCTGGCAGGTACAGCTTGGACTCCTTCCTTCTCTTCCTCTTCCCGTCCCTTCCTCCCTCCCTCCTTGTCTTTACTCAGGGACATATAATTCAAGAGCTGGAGCATGGCACCAGTGGAGACAGTGCTGGATTCCCAAAGCTTAAAGGATTGCTGCCATTATATAAAAGCATTGCATAGCAACTTTCTTAAATCAGGTGGGGTATCGATTGCTTTTCTGAAGGGGATAATTGAATCTGATAACTCAACAGAGAAAGCAATTTTTTTGAAACACTGCCTTAAGAACTGTATTATCTAAAAGACACATTAGATGGATGCACCAACCAACATTTTTGTCCATAGTTCCATGAATGAAGACTGTTTCTAAAAGCTGTTAAAATACAATCATTTTGCATTTCTGTTCCAAAAAAAGGAATATATTAGGTAAAAAATTTTTAAAAGCTTTCTTATTTGTCCTTAAATGTAACTTCCTTAATATGCCTTTTGAAAAATAGCCTGTGCTTACTAACATTTACAGAAGGCTCATGAGGAAATTCATGTAAAGTCAGGAGTCTTGATTTAGCAATTGCACTTTACACCTGTGCTTAAAGCTAAGAATATTTCTGAATTCTCTACTGGATATGACCAGAAAAAAATTGATGTAGGGTAGATGTAATATTTGATTTGAAAATATGCCAAATGTCTAAACTCCTGAAGGAAGTTTGAGCATCAGTGTATTAATAAAGCAAAAAGTCTTGTTTTATAAATGCAAAGCTGATCACTGAATCTACTGGGTAGGTTCCTGGGCTCTCCAGTAATCCAAGGCCAAGAGAATTTTTGAGATCATCAGGACATGTGGAAAACCTGAAAGTATTACAAATGTTAGTTTGAGACATGAAGGAATATTGGCCCCTGGGAGTGGTGTTTGTTGACTTAGCAAAACCCCTTGAAACTGAAAGCCATTCTCACGTTATTACAGCTCTTTAATAGAAGGGTATGACAATCAAAACATTATATGGAGATATATGAGAACATCAATATTACATTGACCTGAAGAATGAACAGCTGGATGTTGTTGGGATTTAGATTGGTACAAAACAAGGTGATCAGTTGTCTCCAATTTTGTTTAACTTATCTATGAATGCTGTAACTCTATAACTTGAATGAGGAAGGAGGTAGGTTTCAACATTGCTTGAAAAATAAAAAATTGGGATTTTTGAACACAACTTGCTTCTATTGAGCGGATCTTGTGTAGGAATGCAGAAAAAATACTGAAACTGGGGAGGTCTTCTGTGAGATAACTGGCCTCAAGACATAAAAGGAGACAGTATTTACATCAAGACCACTAAAGACTCGCATGATCAATTACTATCATACATGGGCAGCTAACAACAATATGATTGAACCTCCCAATATGATTGAACCTGGTAGCCCCGAAAAGTACCTGGATTACATATTGACCCATAGACTGGAATATTAAACCCAGAACTACTGGAAAAGGTAAAGGGATGGTTGCAGCAGATTGGAAAGGCTCCATTTGAGAGATTTTTATCAAGTTGACATCCTGAATGGATATACTGTGTGATATATTCTGTGATTATATCAATTTGGTCTGCCAGGTAAAGCATAACCCATGTTCCTGGAAACCCCAGACTTGCATTTTGACCTGCTGTCAAGGCAAGGTTACCTCTATTGGAAGGTACCTGCCAAGCCATAGCACAGCATGTGACGTGGGTGTTTAGGTATTACCAGACTGATACTGGGTATGATCCCTAGCATGGCCAGCTTTAAGATTGCACAGAATTGTGCTTTGGATGAGACATCAAGAGCAGTTGTTGAGCAGGATAGCATTGAGAAAGAGTCTGAAAGATTATGAATTGCAGCCAGAGGTGATAAAGATTTCATCTTTCAAATATTTTCAAATTCCATGTGTTTGAAACTCAAAAGAAGTCATGGTTATATCAGAGGAATTATGTGGTGCAGAACCAAACTTGGAATGGGAGATGACCACTGCAAAGGTAATTCTTCTGAAATCCTGTAACTGGCAAAACCAAGAATTCGTAATTTGGACCTAGTTTGTATCCCAAGGCTGTGAAATTTTCAGCTTTGAGGATATCAGTAACAGCTGGATTGAACATTAGAGGAATTCCCCATAGAAAGCTCATTACAGAGGAACAGCTGAGAGCTAGTGCCTACCCAGCCAGAGAGTTTCTGATTAAGGATAAGTAACAGACTCAAGTCATGCAAACACTGCCAGGTGGAGAATGAGAGCTGTACACATTTTTTTGCATACTCTCCTGTGGTACAAGATGCTGAGAGCAAGAGAGGTAACCAATTATGTGACATCTAGGGGAATGAAGCTTTAAAAAAAAGGGGTAGTATTCCAGGAAGAAATGTTAAAAAATGAATAAAATGAGCTATGTAAACCAGATATAGTACATGTTGAGGAAAATCAGGGTTTTGTAGTAGATATCACAGTTAGATATGAGAGTAAATCAACATATTTGGAAGACAGAACAACATAAAAAGTAAAGAAATATCAACATCTTAAAATTCAAGAACTGACCAAGGCCACTAATATTAAATTTATAGTATTCCCTTTAGGAGCACGTGGGAAGTGGTTTGAAGGAAACAATTAATTATCAGATGGACTAGGACTCTGTACAGTTCCTGACAGGAAAAGGTTATTCCTGTCATCCTGAACTTTTTACTTCATTGGACATTGTACACATGTTTGCTGGTTGAACTTGGATAGGTTTAAGATCTTTATGAGTTGTAGTTGTATGTACTAATGAATTGTACATAAATGTATCCCTTTTTATCTAATGATTGAAGAACAGTGTAACTGTGTATGCTGCAAACAAATTATCTATATTTATAAGGTTAAAATTAGAAGGGTGTTCATAGTATGTAGGGACAACTGTGAACTTGGAATCATGATGTGTCATCCATCCTGCCAGAAAACAGCAATTTCTGGTCTTTACTCAGGCGAATGAGCTTTCTTTCTTAATGTAGAAAAACAATATGTATAACTTTATATATAATTCGGTGACTATCTTGCACGGAGGGCTTGTAAAATGACACTTTCACTCTCTCACACTCTACATTCTGGCCATGCTCACAAAACACCTTTTGGCAATGAGCCTTTTGGGGCCACCATTGCTCACTCTTTCCCTGCCACAGGAGCAGTGTGATCCCTTCAGCTCAAGGGATGCTCCCAGGTTCAACCTCTCCACCTGGGTTATGTGTGAACTAGGGACAGAGTTTTTCTTCCTGCCGTCAGGAAGGACAATCTGGTGTGCCTGTTATTGCTGACTTTGTCAGCCCATTATGGTAAACAACAGTTTCTGCTCTGGTTTCAGTTAGTTTGAAGCCTTGGTGACTAAGTCTAGTTCTTGCAGGTTGGTGTAAAACAATGTAATAGGCATACTTACAAAGAGATCCACGGGGCTACACAGTGCCTATTAATTTCAGCAGAACAAGATCAAGAACAAATCAGTCAAGGTTTTATTCTCTTACCATACTGTTTTGTTTAAGGTACGTTTAGTGATATGGACTTTTATTAGACTTGTGTGTTATGCATTTACTTTCTATAACATCCTGTTACCTGTTCCATGAAGGCATCACAAAGTTGCAACATGAGTTTGTTTAATGAGATACTTCTTGAGTATAAATTCATAACATTCTTGAAGTACTAAAGATTACTTTCAGCTTGGTGACATTTCTGTTTCAAAGGGAATCAGTGTCTGAGGTTTATTCATAGAATCTCCTGAACTGGAAGGCACCCACAAGGATCATATAAGTCCAACTCCCAGCTCTGATTTTTACTGCTCCCTTAAAGTTTGATTCTAAAACTACCAGGCTACTATTGTATGGCTGTGGAACCTAAAATAAGATTTGAGTCTTATTATCCTTCACCAACAGTGCACAGGGAAGATTTTCAAATACTTGACTTGTCTCATTTACATGTTTAAGCTACTTTTTCAGAGCAAGAAAAATAATAAAGAAATTACCCAGCGCTACAGAACATAGCCTCTGCCTGATTTAGTGGTTTTATTACCATTGTGATTCATGACTAATTCATACGAATGAAATTAGGTTATATATTACTATTAGGAGATTAACATTTCATGAATTTAATAAATGCTTTCATGGCTACTCTGAAATCTAATTCCCTGGCCTAAAATGTCACCGATGTCTGCTTGTTTTAGGCAAACCAATTTAATTCAGTTTAGTAGTGCTGGGAGAACGTTAGCTGAGATTCGTTTTGAGTGGAGTCACTGCCCTTTCCTTTTACCCTCTGTCCCCCTGCTCTGTAAATCTAAAATGCTATAATGTTGGAATGATGCAGGAAAAACACTCTGTTAGCTGACCACATGGAGGAGAGAACGACATACTACTTTACATCATCAGGATCGGAAATTTCAGGTTGTTAAGGATAAGCCTATCGGATACATATACATAAAAGTTAATTTATGGTGTTATGCGTAGGCAGTGGTTGTATTCTATTAACTTGAGGATATGATCATTATGCTGTTCTCCATGGCATAATATGATTTTCGTAAAGCCCCTCAGCAGTGTTCATTGCAGCCTTGGAATAAATAATATTAAAGGCTTTATTCAATTGTGGTAAATATAAACAAATAATATTATTTCATCTCTAACTCAGATTCAGATTTACTCATTTTATGGCTGAAACAAGGATGTCTTGCTGCATTTGAGTATAAACCTCATTCTTTGTTCTTCCTGTACCAGCTTCTGAAGGATTCTGCAACATGTTCAATCTGAACTAAGACCAACCCTGCACCCACACCCGACAGCCTCCCCTTAGTAATTTGCATAGTTCTATCTTATGGACTTCTTCCTGCCAAAGTTCTGCCTCTGCCCAACTTTAGTTTGGTCATGGTACCCTGGAGCAACTGAAGCCATAGCCAAAACCCAGAAATGCAGGGTTTATTTTTGTCCTCTCTTTTTGGCAGTTAAACTTAGTTGTGGGGATTTTTGTTGTTTGTTTTCTTCCTTTTCCCTCCTGCAACAGGGAGAAATGAGAACTAGGAGGGAGGAAAGGAGCTCTTCTCAAGGCCCATGCTTTGGTGCCTGGAGTGCTTGTGGAGGGTCTGTGAGAGTGGGATGAATCCTGATCAGGTTGAAGAGAATGGTGGGGTGGAGCCCGGGAGGAGCCGAATTTGGATGAAAAATCCTCTTATTGGTGAGCTGTTACTTAAAAGAAGGCTAGATCAATTATGGGATTTTAACTTAGAAAAATAGATAAACTGTTATTTGTCACATGAAACAAATGGCTTGAATACCAAATGTCAGGAAATAACTAACTGAGCTCTGAAGGGAATCCAAAGCCCTGAAGAAAATTGGCTGTATTCAAACTGCTCATCATGGTCCAGCTTAAAGGCCTGGCCAAGCCCTAATGTGCTTCACAGCTATTAGCT